TGGACAAATTATTTTGCAAATAAAAACTGAAAAACAAGATGGGGGAAACCAGGCATAAGAAAACATATGGCGAAAAGAAATCAAAATGGCCAAACAGCTTAGTTGATCACAAGCTCAAAAATAAAGTAACACTGTGACGTGGGCAATGAGCAAAGCAGCCTCGGACCAGGCACCGGGCGGTCACTGCCACGACGACGTTGGGAGATGCCAATTCCCTCTGGAGCCCGCCTTGGGCAGACCCCGTCATGTCCCGTGATACCACAGCCTGTTCTGGGGAAAGCCGAAGGGACTGCCAACCACATGGCATCCAAAGAGGTGCCCACGTTGCTGGAAGACTCACCACTGCAGGGTACAGTAACGAGCTCTGAACACAGGAAAGGTCTTTTGTTTTTTTAAAGATTTATTTATTTATTTGAAAGTCAGAGTTATAGAGAGCTGGCAGAGAGGCAGAGAGGCGGGGGGGGGGGGGAGGGGAGACGGGGGAGAGAGGTCCTCCATCCACTGGTTCACTTCCCATCTGGCTGCAATGGCCAGAGCTGCACCATTCTGAAGCCAGGAGCCAGGAGCTTCCTGCAGATCTCCCACGCGGGTGCAGGCGCCCCAGGACCTGGCCATCTCCCATTGCTTTCCCAGGCCACAGCAGAGAGCTGGATTGGAAGTGGAGCAGCTGGGTCTCGAACCGGCATCCGCGTGCGGCGGCTTTACCTACTACGCCACAGTGCCAGCCCCAGGAGAGGTCTTTTAAGTACCATGTGTAAGAGAAGAAGTACCGGGCACAGCACCCAGAGATCGAGGGAGGACTAGTGAGAGAAAGACAGACTGTGAGCAAGCAGCAGAAGCAGGGACTGGAAGCGCAGGCCAGGCGAGCCTTGCTGATGGTCCATCAGGGCAGGCCACCCAAATGACCCTGTGCTGGTTTAGGGATCGTCTTCCTAAGTCCACGTGATGCCAAAGTCACAGAACAGGGCTGCGTCCGGTTGAGTCACCTGTGGAGCCTCAGCAAGGAAACAGGATTGCGCAACCTTCCAGACCGTGAGCTGACGTCCAGCCAACTCTCCGCTCTTCTGGGAGCCACAGCAAAACAGGGAAGGACAAAGAAAAGGAAGTGACCACCACGGAGGACATCAGCAAATTTGTGAGAGACAAAGAAAATGGAGAAACAACTTAGGAAGGCAACACTGAGCCAAGCGAGTTTTAGAAGAACGCATTACAATCCGCCACCTCCTCCTGGCCAACCAGACAAAAAGGAAATTTCCCGGAGTTTCAGACGCAGCTGTCCTCAGGGCCTGCAGAGGCCTCCCCAGGGCCCCGACAGAGGCGCTCGGGCACCCGGGGGTTCCCAGGCAGCAGAGAGGAGGAGAGTATCTCAGCTGGTCTAGCGAGGGGAAACCCCGCAATAAAGTGCAGACCGCAAGTCAGCAGACCCGGCACCTCTGGAAGACACTTTCAGGCATGGGAGGTCTCGAAGACCTCCTCACACCCTCGCAGGAAGCTGCTGAGGGGATGTGCGGCACCGAAACTCGGCAGTGACATGAGACCAGGGACGCAGGCACTGAGAAAGCGGACTGCAGGGCAGAGCGGAGGGACACCCAGCAGGCCGGCGTCCGGTCCGTGACAGGGGCTCTGCAGAGGGCGAGTCTAAGGCAGGGATGACGCAGACTGTAGGAGGTGCCTGAGCACGCTAAGAAAGGTGAATGATGAACCAACAATTCATGTTGGTTTTTAACACTGATTGTATCCAAAAGTTGTGGAAGAACCTATGCGTGTAAGAGCTAAAACCTCCCTTCCCGTCAGAAGTCAAATGCATCGACTTTAGCGATGTGGAAATCTGACCCAGGAGCTGGGGACGAAGGCAGCGTCCTGAGCGCGTGGTGACGAGGAGGAGGAGGAGGAGGAGGACGACGAGAGGACGGCTCTCCTGTGCTATGCACCTGCCTAGTCTCTCCACAGATGCAGTGACTGCAGGCAGAAAGCTGCTGACACACAACCTGAGCAGAATCTTCTGGGATGTGCAACTGATGGTGGCGAGTACGTTCAGAGCAATAAATGTGGTAGTATCAGGTACGGGGGAGAAAAAGCCTTAGACAAGATTACAAAATGTAAAAATGCAGAGTGCATAAAACTGGACTGTTTTTTGTAATATTCACGAGTAGACATGCAGGGAGATGTCAAACATGCATCGTGTTACTGACCAGTCCTGCCGACAGGCAACTTCATCCACACGCATCAGCTCTTGAGAGCGGTCAAGTTTATTATCAATCATGAAGTTTCACCGTGGTATTTTGGGATCAGGGCCAAGACCGAAATGTTTCTGAATCAAAAGAATAGTGCTCGAGCACAGCTACTGACCAGCGGACGTCCAGTCATGCTTTGCTTTGCAGAACTCTGGTGTTTCTTAATGAATGCAACCCCAGGTTGTCAGGCAAACCTGTGCTGAAACTTCATACCACAGTAATGTCATCTCAACAGATAATTTTACTTGAATAATAAGGAGGTTTAAGTCCCTTCACTTCTTATGTTGTCAGAAACTAACGTAAGGGGCTTGCATTTCAACGCAGTGGTATATTATACTGCAGCCTGCAACACTCCAGGTTCAAACCCTGGTGGCTCAGCTTCTGTTAATGCACCTAGGAAAGCAGTGGGAAAGGGCCCAAGTCTTTGGGACCTTGTGACCCATGGGACGCCTGGACAGAGCTCCTGGAAGACCTGAGACCCCCTTCCCACACAAATGCCCAGGAGACGCATTTCTGAGCACACACCAGGGCTCAGCAGCGTTTCCCACGCTCGACACAAGGCAAAGCAAGCTTCCCTGTGCGACTGAGGGGCGTGCGCCTCATCTTTTTTTTAAAGACTCATTTATCTGAAAGTCAGAGTTATGCTGAGAGACTCAGAGAGAGAAGGCTCCATCGGCTGGTACACTCCCCAGTTGGCCACAACAGCTGGAGCTGCACTAATCCGAAGCCAAGAGCTTCTTCTGGGTCTCCTACGTGGGTGCAGGTGCCCAAGGACCTGGGGCATCCTCCACTGCTTTCCCAGGCCACAGCAGAGAGCTGGATGGAAAGTGGAGCAGCTGAGATTCAAACTGGCACCCATAGGGGATGCAGGCACTGCAGACGGCTACTTTACCTGCTACACCACAGTGCCAGCCCCTCAGCTAACCTTCGACTTTAAGTGATTAATTTCCAACACAACGACAAGCTAAACTCAACTGAAGTCATACACTTGGGGACTACAAACAATGTGCCAGCACCTATCTGTATAAAAGACATTTTCAAAGATCCAAGTTATAAAATCTCATAGATCGGATGTATAACAGCTTATATTGTTATTTTTAAGATTTATTTATTTAAAAGGCAGAGTTACAGAGAGAGAGAAAGAGAAATAGAGAAAGAGATTTCCCATTTGCAGGTTCATTCCCCAAATGGCTGCAAGAGCCAAGGTTAGGCCAGGCTGAAGCCAGGAGCCAGGAACTTCTTCAGGGTCTCCCACGCAGGTGGCAGGAACCCAAGCACTCGAGCCATCTTCCACTGCTTTCCCAGACACTTTATCAGGGGAGCTGAGTAAGAACCAGAGCAGCTGGAGTTCAGACCAGCGCCTCTATGGGATGCCAGCATCTCAGGCAATGGCTTAGCCCGCTGGGCCACGACGCCAGGCCTTAGGTCTGTCTGTCTCCCCCTCTCTGTAGCACTACCTTTCAAATAAATAAATATTTAAAATTTTAGTTTCCTACCACCAACTAGTGATGCCTATTTGTAAAAGTATTAAAGCTATAAAGTAGAAGTCAAAACTCCCATCTCACAAAATACTTAGTTAAAATAAGGGGGATCTCCTAAAAATGACTAATGAGATACACAAAGGAATGACCACAGAGGACCTGGAACAATTCAAAAAGGCTTGACAAAAATGGAGGAAAAAAAGCAGAGCCCTGGCAGGTATGAAATCAAATACACAGAACAGGAACAAAACTACGAGCCAAGAGCCAAGAGGCGAGCACTAGCTGAGAACGCTCCACAAGGATCACACAGAGTAACGCGGCCTGGAGCTGAGGCACCGCAGGACCCAGGGGTCGCCGTGAGGCGCTGGGGGCGGCCACGCAGGGGTGAGGGGAACGCCGAGGGTTGGGCAGGTCACTCTGAGAAGCCGGGCAGAGGGGGGCTTTGTGCAAAGCAGCGTTTCAGATGCTTAGGCCAGACCCACCTAGGGGCAGAAGCAGAAACCCCTCACGGCAGGACAACTCAGCACCTCCTGGGAAATAATGCCTGACCCAGCTTCACAGAAACCGAAATGGAAAGAGAAACACAGCTGGAAGAATCACCACAGGCCTTGGAGACAGCACACGGATCCGGAAGTGAGGCGCACAGTCAAACACGACGGAAAGTGACAGACGTGGCAATCAGCACCAGCTGTGTCCAGCCTCTTCTCAAGATACAAGAGGAAGGGAAACTGGTGACGTCTGCACGCCCCTCGAAGGACCACTGTGTGACTTCCTACTAAGTGCCAACCGAGCTGAAAGTCAAAAATGATCTGTTAATAAAATGCTTCAAAGAGTTCCAAAGCAATAGCAGTGAGGACTCAAAAGGAGACATGTGGCTGCACAGAAGCCACGTGTCCGCTGGCGGATGTAAAACAAAAACCCAACAGTCTCTCTCTCTCTGTCTCTCCCCCTCTCTCTGTCGCACACGCACACGCACACAGTGACATCACCTGTAAGCAGTGGCCTGGGGCACAGCCCTCGACCAGCAGGCTTCCTCTGCATGCCACTACTTCAGCTTGCAAGGCCTGGCTGGTCTTTGTGTCCAGCACCCTCCCTACCAGAAACCAGGTACCTGTGGGTTCCAAGCACTCTGAGACATACCAACGCAGACCAGAGGCCGCCGTCAGTGTTCTCAGAACAGGGCCTACAGGACCGGACTGCACTAGCTCAGAGGCGGACCCAGACCTCCAGGTCTTTCCTCGATGTAACTCACGGAAGGACACACTCACAGTCTCAGTGGACTTACCTTTCCAACCAAGGGTAAAAATTAAAAGAAACGTTTTCTTCTCTGTGGCTCCTTGCCCATTACAGTTGTCCTGCAAACACTGTCTTCCAGTTTAGCGCATCGGAGATCAGCAGGAATAAAGTGAGATGGGGATGTGAAACAGGAGCTCTCCTATTAAAAAAGAAAGAGGAGCCAGTCATACATATTCCTCCTTGGTCTGGTGACACCTACGGTTAAAAGACTCTGCTTCAGGGCTATGACTCACAGAGAATCACACATCAGAAAACCAAAAGGCTTCAGTTAATTGAAATCTTTCTATGTAAACGGAAAAAAAACAGTACTGTCATCCCTCTTATTTCAACTTTTTATAAATAACACTGTCACTTTTTATCTATTTATTCATTCCTTTACTTATTTTAAAGGAAAAGTAACAGGGAGAGAAGGAGAGAAAACTCTCCCATCTGTTGGTTCACTCCTCGAAGGCTGGCAACAGCCAGGCCTGGGCCTGGGCCAGGCCAGAGTGAGAAGCCAGCAGTCTCTCTGGTCTCCTAGTGAGGGCAAGTGCCCAAGTACTCGGGCGAGCCTCTGCTGTCTCCCAGGTGCATCAGCAGGAACTGGACCAGAGGCGGAGCAGCTGGGACTTGCATCGGCACTCTGACACAGAGCGCAGATGTCCCACGCACAGGCCTAACTGCTCCGTCCCAAGCACCACCCCTCTACCTCAGGTTTCATCCTGCATCCTGCACTGGACAGCCGCCCAGAAATACACACAGGTGCCGGGAAAGCACGATCCGTAAGCAGAGGAAAGAAATGCACTTTCTGTCTTTTCTTATGAAAGCGTCAACGGTGTTCTCAGGCGGAGGGCTAACTGCAAAGGCACCACATCAAACACTGACTTCCAAAACCATCTTCCTGTCCAAGCCCCCGCAGCCACGTCCTGCCCCGACAATCACAGCCTGCTCAGGAACTATGAGCCAAACATCAGGTCCCTGAAGTCCGAGCGACAGCCAAGTCCAGTCTCTCATGTCAGTGGACCACACGCTGCACAATAAAGGAATATAAATGTCTTCCAAGGTGCATGGCACATAACTTATTACAGAAAAAGAGTCAAATTGTGGACACTGAACTAGAAATCCTGTAAAATACAGTCTACAAAAAAAAAAAAAAAAAGAAATGTTGTTCATCTAATGTTTTTCTTCCATAAAACACTGCTACCATTGTGATCAAGTCGACATTTTCCCTCCAGTATGATAAATTGAAAAATTTTAAGCATATTTTAAAAAAGAATTAAAAAAAAGACAGCAAATAAATAAATCTTAAAAAAAAAAAAAAAGACAGTAACAAACTCAGGTAAAAATGCAATGAAGCATAAAAACGGAACATTTACCAGGCAAGTGCTTTTTGAACATACTCTTGAAGTACTGTTGATCATCTAAATTATTGCTTAAAATCATAAAAACCTATCAATGCTACTATGTGCTCCTGGAGTCCTTCCACTCTACAAAGCTGACCGTGTAAAATGTGGAACGCTAACCCTAGCTCAGTCCAGTTCCGACACAGCATCTGTGTTAGGGCTCTCAGATCCCTTGAAGATCTGACAGATGGGGCCAGTGTCGTAGTGCAGCAGCCTAAGCCACTGCTTGTGGTATTGCCAGACAGTGAGTCTGGGAAGGTAGCAGATAATGGCCCAAGTGCTTGGGCCCCTGCTACCAACATGGGAGACCCGGATGAAGCTCCAGGCTCCTGGCTTTGGCCTGGCCCATTCCTGGCTGCTGCAGAAATCTGGGACGTGAACCTGCAGATGGAAGACTTCTCTCTTATGCTGTCTCCTCCTGTCACTCTTTCAAATAAATCTTTTTAAAAAGTTCCAACAAATATAATCTCCAAAATGCACACATGTACAAAATTTGGCATTTAATCCAAGTCGTTCCAGGCTCCTCGAAGTCCATCTGCAATCATTGCTCCCACCAGCAGCAGGCTCCTAGCGTGTCGTCCACGCTAGACTCACTTTCCCATCAGAGAAGCAGGACCGACTGCAGCGCGTCTCTAACCTGCAGGGAGGGTGCGAGACACAGTCCACTCTCCTGGGAAGGGCCTGGTTACTTCCTGAAGTCCTTACACTTGTCCACATGGCTGATGCTGAGAAGTATCAGAGCAGGACAAACTCAATCAAAAGATGGCAAACAATGAAACCATGTGCAATTGCAGTACTGGGACTTCTGGGTAGAAAGGAGACAATGAGCACACTTTGAAATGCTTCTAAAACTATAATAAATAGACTGCTTCTGTCTTGTCTTTTTCCCCCCAAAGATTTATTTATTTGGGGACTGGCATTGTGGTACAGTGGGTAAAGCTGCTGTCTGCAGTGCCACATCCCTTACAGGCACTGGTTGTTTCCTGGCTGCCCCACGTCTAATCCAGCTCCCTGCTAACGGCCTGGGAGAGCAGCAGACGATGGTCTAAGCACTTGGGCCCCCGGTGAATATTAGAGCCCTGATTCTAACCTTTCTTGTCCCAACCCAGCCGATGCCCTTATCGGAATCCTTTACTGCCAACTATCATTCAAGACCTTCACTCTCTACAAGACTCAAGGACACACAACATTTGCGGACATTGAGGAAAAAACCTAAATTCTCCCCAACCAAAGAGCTCAACCAGCCAACCTGCTGCCACGTTCACAGCCGAGGAGCTTCTGTCACGCACCCTCACCTCAGCCTTTAAACACTTTCCCTTTTCACCTCGAGAATCGTTGCAAGGGCAGTGCAAGGAGCTGTCGGAGTCTGAGCCCAGAATCACCAGCTGACTTTACCACGGCTTTCCCACCCCTCCACAAACATCCTCACCCACAGGCACGTAACTGTGCCCCAGCCATCAGGGCCCTTCACCCTTGAAAACTTCAGTGTGCGTTTTCCAAGAGCAAGGTCTGCTCTCACACAAGCGCAGTACAGAGCTCAACACAGGAATTTCACCATTGAGCGTCAAGCAGGGACTACGAGTTCACACTCATTCCAGCAACTGCTCTCGTGCCCCTACAGTCCCTACAGCAGTGCCCGTGCGATCCAGGGCACAGTCACACCTCCGTCACATCTCCATCCCTCTCATCAGGAAACAGTCTTCACAACATTCCCCCTCCATCTCACTGACATCTGTGAACACAAGTCACGCGCTCCTGGCAGGAACACCGTGTCAGTAAGCTTGTTTCCTGCAGCACTCACATAAACAGACACAAAGCCAATCTGCCCCATTACTGAAGATACTTTGATCACTTGGTTAAGACAATATCTGCCGAATTTCTTCACCATGGAGTGACCAATTTCCCTCAATAATTACTAAGAAAGGAATCGTGGGAAGACATTTTAGACTATTTTCATGCAGCATTCATCCCATAGTTTTAGTGCCCATTGACAACTTGTTCTCTCCAACAATCACAAAATGATAGGGCTTCTGTCATTCTACTATTTCTACATTTATTTTTATCATTTTTAAAATTTTTATTTATCTGAGAGCACAGAGAAAGAGTCACCCAGAAAATGAGCCTCCATCTGCTGGTTCACACTCCTAAATGTGCACAAGAAGCCGGGCCTAGAGGAGGGCTGAAGCCAGGAGCTGGAACCAGGCACTCAATCCAGGCGTCCCACAGGATGGCAGGAACCCAGCTCCCTGAGCCACACCACCAGCTCGCAGGGCTGGCATGAGCAGGAAGTCGCAGCCAGGAACCAGAGCCAGGAACTGAACCCAGCTACTACAACGCAGGACAGGAACATCTTACCAGGTAGACTAAATGATGGCTCCCTCCTTCTGCATTCATTCACTCACATTCTTACTAAAAGAAACTTTGTTGCCACCTACTTGAAGGCAGAGCAACAGAGAGATGGGGAGAGACAGATCTCCCATCTGCTAGTTCAGTCCCCAAATGCTTGCAAATGGCCAGGGCTATGTCAGGCTGAAGCCAGGCGCCAGCGACTCCATGTGGGTGTCTCACGTGGGTGGCGCAAGCCCATCTCCTCAGCCAGCATCCACTGCCTCCCAGGATGCAAAAGCAGGAGGCTGGATCAGAAGTGGAACAGCCGGACGCAAACAGGGTGTGCAGCAGCAGCCTCACTGTCCACAGTGAGTCCACTGTCCACTGCACCACAATGTCCACCGGTACTTGTCGACACTCTGATCAGGAAGGTATGTCTCCCTGTCGCCACACGTTGTTTTCTGTCTCGACTTGGTTATCAGTAGGAGCTCACACATTATAATAATATCGTTACTCATTCTGGTGCTCAAACTGTCCCAGATTGGGCCAACAGGCGCCCCTTCAAGCAGTCTCTTGCGTGCTTTTCATATTTTTTGAGCATTTTGAAATTCTCTAAAAACACACTCCAGATCCGGCTTGTACACTCTTTGCCCCTGGTTTGCAGTCAGCCATCTCTCTAAGGAGTGCTGAGGCTCCTGGCCATGTTGTCTGGAGATGAAGACCTGAAGGCTAAGCATGTCCACAGATACTGGGGTCTCCTCTCCCTGCCTGTGACACTGCACAGAGCCAAGAAAGAGGTCAACTTCAGACAACCTAAGTATTAAGTAACCATGACTCTTAAATATGGAAAAAAACAGATTGCCAGACACCTCCAGAAGCCTCTACCATGTAAAAGTAGCAAAAACACACAAGAACACACAGAAAAAGTTGGAGAAGGAAGGGAAATACAAACGAGGGGAGGGATAGAAGAAATGTGATATACTCAGAAAGAGAGAGTGCGTCCGTTAAATAAAGAAGACAGCACCCAGGGGCCGCTGTGGTGCAGCCGTCAGACGTCACTACAATGTCCCATGAGCACTGGTTCAAGTCCCATCCAGGAAACGCACCTAGGAAAGCAACGGAAGATGGCCAAGTACTAGGGCCCCTGCCACCACGTGGGAGACCTGGATGGAGGCTTCTGGCTTTAGCCTGGCCTGGCCCTAATTGTTACAGCCATCTGGGGAACGAACCAGCGGATGGAAGATCTTGCGCTCTCGCGCGCGCGCGCTCTCTCTCTCTCTCTAACTCTGCCTTTCAGATAAATATATAAATCCTTTCAAAAAAAAATTTTTACAGCAGAAATTAAAAACTGAATAGAAAGGCTGGAAGATAAAAAGGAAACAAATTAAAAACCAGGAGAAAAGAAAACTAAAGGCTAAAATGGAACAAA